GAAAAAAATTATAAATTCAATAAAATGTTTTTTTGAAAAGTGTTTAAAAAAAAAAAAAAAAAAAAAAAAAGTAAGTTTTGAAAAATGGGAAAAACTTGTTTTGATAAAAGTTAGTGAAATTTTATCTCGATTCCGGTTCCCTATATGTATTTATTCTCCATATGGAAAAACTTACTTATTTATATGAAAGACGATATTCCATTTTTTAGGTGTACAATGTTGGTTGATTGGTTTGGTTCTGCACTCGTCAACCAATATATTAGGTCCTAGGAGATACCTCGGTATGGAACTAAAATTATATTTTAGGATGGATTAAAATTTAGAATTCTCTTGAGCGTGAGCTTCATTTTTTTTTAATTTTTTTTTATTATTATTTTTTAAAGGCAATTGTAAAGTAAAAATGTTGGGGTTCGCTTATGCCAAACGCTCTACCACTAGAGTAAAGGGTGCACTTCACTTTTACAATATTTAGTTAAAGATTGAATTCAACAAAATTAAACAAAAAAATAGATAAACCTTTCATTAGTCTTTCTTTTACGTATTCTCTTTCCCTCATTTGTAAACTAACGTTTTTTAACTTTATAAAGAAATTGTGGCATAGTTTTTAAATACAAAAAGGAACATAAATTTCAAAATAACAAAAGTACCACACCTGCTTCAGGCAGGTAGCTGTGAGCTTGTGACGTGAGGTATTTTGGCTTGTAACTTAGGCTCGGTTTCATCGAGTCCGAGCCGAGCCAATTCAGACTTTTTTTCAGACCGAGTCACGAGCCGCCCAAACCGAATTGACATTCCTAATGCAAATGCAGCACAATAAGGGAACATATCACCAAACCCAAGTTAGTTTTGTTTTTTTCAAGTAGAATGAAAATTAAAAGAGAATACTTCAAAGTTAAATTCTAGATGTTGTCACATTTTTTATTATTATTAGTTGCACGTTACTATTGCTAGAAGTGATTGTGCAACCATAACCTATAAAAAAAATATGAAACAAACCAAATCGAGTGAGTATGAGACAAACCAAAGTTCTCATTGTGTGAGTTATTTATTCTATGGGTACACCATATTCATTGAACGTTTTAACGATTAAATTACTTTACAAAGTAGGAGACGGCACCATTTATTATTATCTCTCATTTTAGTATACTAAATCATGTATCAAAATCAAGGTTTTTATTATATGTTTTGATTAAGAGGCTTCTATATCAAATATAATAGTGCCAAAGAGAAAATTATAATGAAACATCATTTGTATTTGACTAGTCTGGATGATTTTAAACATCATTAATGCCAACATTTTCAAAATAAAAAAATAAACCTTCACTCATTTATTCTCTTATATTGGCAGCTTATCCCACCCACCCCACCTCTCACCTCACAAATTCTCTCCAATTCCTCTAATCCCACTCAACAAGTCCTCAAGTCATTCAAGACTCAAAACTTTCTACACCCCCAAACCATGGGAGATTACAGATCCGAGTCCTATAGTGATAACAGGATGCAGATAGAAAAATATTATGGACCCCCTCCCACCACCACCACCACCAGGCCTAATAATTTCAGGTCATACAGTGCTTCCTATGCGGCGGCGGAGCCATCACCACCACCACAAAAAAATGACGGGAAAATAAAGAAAGGCAGTGGAAAATCTTGGAGTTTCAATGACCCTGAATTCCAGAGGAAGAAAAGGGTGGCTAGTTACAAAGTCTACTCTGTTGAAGGCAAAGTCAAAGGGTCTTTCAAGAAGAGTTTTAGGTGGTTTAAATATAAGTACACCCAGGTTGTCTATGGATGGTGGTAAACTGCTAAACTCGATCATTCATATTTCATGGGATAATTTGCTGAAGAACTTCTTTACATGCTTATCGAACAGTTTGCTCTTAGAAAAGTCGAAAAAAACATGATTTCTTAAGGTACAAGGTACAGAGGTGGATTTTCATTATGTGGTAGAGCACTTTGTTTCAAATTAATTATCAATATGCAATTTACATGTTTGTTTCACTGCGGAAATTCTATAATTTTATGATTTGGTATATTTCGAGTTTTCAATATTGTTTAAATTAAGTATGATCAAGGCATCAAGCTATTTGTCAAAGTTCAGTATAATGTACTAAATCGTCTTTTATTCTATTTGCGTCCAATTTCTAGAAATTATATAGCAATTGCCATAAATAGGAGTTTAATCATTTGAAGAGCGGAATTAAACTACTTTGCCCTTTTTTTTTATGACATAATGGTTGACATTCTCTAATATGCGCATAGGTTCTGCGTGAATAAAAAAATCCAAAAAAGAAGGGAATTCCCTCTCATTGTGAGTGTTCGTCAACCATTATATTAAAAAAATTCTGACAACATAAAATGATTCTGAAGAGTGCGATAGTAATGATTATTATGTTCAAACATGTTAAATTAAGTAACTTATTTCCTTATTTGCATCCAATTTTTAGAGATTATATAGCAATTGCCATAAATAGGAGCACTAGCATTTGAAGAGCATGGTGGTAATGATTATTATATTCAAATATGTTAAAATAAGTAACTTATAATTTCCATATTTGATCTATAAAAATAAAATATTTTAGAATTATTTAAATAAGCAAGAATGATCCTAAAAACTGCTGTGACAACTAGAATGTTCTAATAATGTTCATAATTGATATATTTAAATGCGTTAAGTTTTTCATAGGAACAATTTTATTTTGATTTTTTTAATGATCGTGGGTGTTTGTGCTAGTTTACACTCACCTCAAATAATCTCACAGATCCCTGAAATTTACAATCCGATACTCACCTCAATGATTATAAGGAGATTCAAATTGATAATCATTAGAGAACAAACCCAATGCCAGTTTTTCATAGGAAAAATGAGGGCATTAGATTTTATCAAGAAATGTATATAAAGGAATTTGTTGAATCAACTCATTCAAAAGTTTAAGTAGTTATATCGTGTCTTCAACATGTCCTTTCACGTGCATGCAATATTCAATTTCTTTACCAAATGCCTAACATGTGCATAATTTCATAAGTTTGTGACGTAAAATTGAACCACCTTATCTAAAAATTTTGAACAATATAGTTCAACGGTTTCAAGCACATTGCACGGTATTAACTGGAGTTGCCAAATTGGATAAAATTTTATTCTTATCAAGAGGACATGCTACCTTTTCAAGCTCTTCATCCAAATCTTTGGCTGTCATTCTTCTGTTCAAAAGCAGAATCCATGTCCAATCTTGGCACAATTGCAATGATAACTATGTACATTTATTGAGAGTAAAAATTCGAAAGGATTCATCATTTCAATCTTCGCATTTACATTCTCATTTCAACACATTATACATTTCATCTATTTGTTCCATCAGAAAGATGCATGCCCTCCACCCAGGACATTGGGGACGAGTAATTTGGTCCAATCACTATATGGTGAATTTTGACGTGTTCATGTTGGAGGGACGTTGTGACAAATGTACAGTAATTGTTAGAATTTATTGAATGAAATTAAACTCCATAAAGTAGAAGAAAGAGGCACTCCATGATTGGAGGAGAAGAAACCTCCATGAAAGGAGGGATTGGAATTCCACAATCCAATGATTTATTAATGAATACAATGACTCCATTTATAGAGAAAAAAGATGAATAATTAATTGACTAATTTGCTAATTAACAAGTTAATCACTAACTAATTAACATCCTAGACATGAGCTGGAATATTCTAAATTTGCTGTAACATATTTCTAACACACCCCCCTCAAGATGGACTATAGATATCAACAATAGTTCATCTTGAAGATTAAAGAGTACTGGAGGGAAAAACCATGATGAATAGCCTTGCAAAACAAATCTCTTGAATCCATACATATGAGCATCCATTAGATCAGCACGAAACATCACCAGACATTCCATTCCCATTCCATTTCGTGCCAATGCACAATGCTTTCAGAGTTGAGGAGACTTGTTTTGTACGACAAACTTGGTAAGGTTCATATTGCAGAAAGGGATGATGTTCTCAATGGTAGCAAATTGGCGGGTCTTCAGATTTCACCAGATTTGATGGAGAAACTAGACTTAGTGTAGGCTTTGACCGTCCATAAAGATCTTTGAAAGTTCAGAGAACCAAAATTTGAAAGAGAAGAAATTTTATTGCAGAGAATCAAGGACGAATTTTGATGTTGCTGGCGCCATTTTTTGAAGACGGGAACTGAACTTTTGCTGGAATAACACTATCCAGAATTATGCTAAAATAGAAGAAATTAGAGATCTGCTTTCATTTGTATAGAACACAGAAAGAGGGGATGAAAATCTCAGAAAACACAGCAGCAGGAAGAACTCTGCTCTGATACCATGTTAGAATTTATTGAATGAAATTAAACTCCATAAAGCAGAAGAAAGAGGCGTTCCATGATTGGAGGAGAAGAAACCTTCCACAATCCAATAATTTATTAATGAATACAATGACTCCATTTATAGAAAAAAAAGATGATTAATTAACTAACTAATTTGCTAATTAACAGGCTAATCACTAACTAATTAACATCCTAGACATGAGCTGGAATATTCTAAATTTGCTGTAACATATTTCTAACAGTAATCTTGCAAAAAACACTAAAAAAGAATTCCCAAATTTATCTCGTTTTCATGTTAAGGTAAAAAACTCAGTCCTCGTACCGACTTGTACTCCGTTATACAACTCCTAATTTAAGTATAAAATCTGAAATATTATTGATTCTACCCATTCTTGTAGGGTATCATATTTTATTATAATTATTTTTAAAAAAAATTAATGCAACGAATAATGAGGATTTTGTACTGCACTTGAACTTATGAAAATTATGTTTGATTGTTGCCACATTCGATAAATCGTCTTAACGAAATGCGAGCAGCAAACTCCATTCAGACTTTCTTCACAAGAAGAACCCCCAACTATGGTTAGTATCTCCTATTTGTTCCCCTTTATTCTTATCAGGGATTTTTTATTGGATTTTTAAGCTCTTATAATTTTAATGCTTTGTAAGAGTTCTCCTAATGAAATAAGATGGAATGGGATGTCTTGCAACTAAATTGAAAATGAGTTATCTGAGTGTATAAGTTGAAATTGAGCAATTCGGACAAAATTTTATCGAAACCATCGTGACCAATTATATAATCTTATCCCTTTTACACATTACACAGAGTGAAGAGAGGCATGTGTGGATGGGGGCATTTATGTAAAGGACAAGTCTTGGTGTACATAGGGGTGTCCACATCCCTCACATGCCATATCATGTGAGAGGTGTAGACATCCCTATGTACCTAAATTATGTACATCAAGCAGAATGCTTATGTAAAACCTACAAGAATCACACGAATTTACCATTATTAGTATCGTACCATTGAATATTGTGGCGCAATCCATTGTTCAATATTAAAAATGTGAAATAAATATTAAAAATCGAATCTTTTTTGTTCTGAAATTATCAGTCAAGTGATCTTGGTTATTTTTTTTATTTTTGTAGAGAGAAAGTGTTTAGATTCTATATAGTAATTGGAGCCATTCAATGTGATTGAACCAAGAAAAATGTGTTAAAATTTCATTTTTATTTTTGTATGTATACGAAGACTTAAAAATCAGGATTTCTTAGAGAGAGGAAATGTACAGATCAAGAATTTTCATCAGTTGGACCAATTCATCCTACTAGTTGAATTAGACGACTTGGTCAAAATAAAACAACTTCAAATTATTTTAAGCCATGTCAGTTTGTTAGCAAGAAGATTATTTTTCACCAAAAGAAAAAATGTCTCAGGTCTTAAAATAAGATATTTTGAAAATTTCGCCATAGACCCATACCTTAATTCAACATAATGGGAGTCACTGTTCAAGTATTTACTTTCGATGGTTAAATATCATAATTGTCACTAAACATCAATTTTTAACTATCATTAAATTTTAGAACTCCTCGAGTTGTCACTAAACTTACTAAGGGTCCATTTGATTGTAAAAATGAAATTTGGATGGAAAGAAAACGAATTCTAAGGAATTGAATTGTCTAAAAATTATTTTCCTGAAAATTATAAATTTTTGTATTTGATTGGTATGATTTTCCACATGGAAAATGTTGAAATAAAAATATTTTTTGGTGTTTGTTTGACTTTGTTTTACATGAAAATTGTCAATTAAAGGGATGAAATTTTCTGGTATTAAGGATGAAATTTTTTTCCATTACAAAAAAACAAAAACAAAAAAAAAAGCCAAGAAAATCATTTACCTTTTAGTATTCCTTTGGTTTTGTTATACATGAAAAATGTCAATTAAAGGAAAATATTTTTTTACAATTTAGGATAGAATTTGTTTCAAAAAAAGAGAGAGAGAGAAAAAAAAAAGCTCAATAGTGCCTGGAAAAGAAATAGTCTACGTGATTGGAAAAGGCAAGAAAATCTATTCCCGATAAAATAATGCTATCAAACATGCAATTTGTGGAACTTGGAATTGGAATTCCTACTTCCATAGAAACCTTTGGCCAATCAAACATGGCCTAAATGTTATCTCACCATTAACTCCATCATTCGTTACTTCAAAAGTTCACCAAATGTTTTCACAGTTATTCGTCTTTCATAATCCAACAAGTTCACCTCTACTACGAAATACAAATGCCCCAACTGTCCCTATTAATCATTATTTCGATCATGTAGACCAATGTAATAGGAACCTAATGAACTTACAAAATGTTATTGCATCCATCATTCCATCTACAATGTCATCAAATTTGTAACTTTTAAAACAATGAGCGAGTGAGCAATATATATGCCATGCGATTTATGCAACGTGATTTATACCGCAATTGTACAGTGTTAAGTTTTATAATATAGTTTTGAAGTAAGAGTGTCGAACCCACAGGGATTGTAATTTAATTTCTACTAAGTACTATAATTGGGTAGCTTTTATTTTATCTAGACGAATGAAATTTGAAATCAATATTGTTAACTAATCTAATGATGATTTTGGTGACAAATTCAAGGGATGCAAATTATACGAATAAATCAAGATGGAAAAACCTAGGGAAT